GCTCGCCGCCACGCACACCTGCACGGGATGGAGCGCCAGCTCCGCAGACGGCACACCTGGGGGCCGACGTGGCAGGAAGCAGCGGAGGCAGGGCCGGCGGCTGGCTTCCTCAGAGCCCAGGACTATGCTGACTAAGGCGATAGCCAGGAACCACATGGGGTTATTTTTAAAAATAATCCCAACGAAATGAAATGACAAATTAGTCACAGTTCAAGTGTTCATCAGCCCCATGTGACCAGTGAGTATGGTACCAGCCAGCACACAGCTCCAGCGTCCCGGAGAGTTCTGTGGGGCTGATGTAACACGGGGCAATTCCCCAGGGGATGCGGGGAAGCAGACTTTCTCCACCCCGACTGGCTGCAGATAAGGACCTACAGCGGATTTCGGGGACAGCTGGAGTGACCTGCGACCGCCAGCAGGAAAAAGCACCGGCAGACATTCAACGCTGTGTGGAGAAGGGTCCCAACCCTGGGTACAATGTTCTCTACCCAGCCTGCATAGGCCTCTCGTGGCCACTCGTGGCCACTCGGAGACATGGACGCATCTGCGGGCCCCTCCTGCTGAGGTTCCTCCAGGGTGTCGTCGGGGGTGAAGTGTCTCCATTGCCCACGTCCCGCCCTTGTGCTCCTGAAGGAGCCTTTCTGGGCTGGCAGTGTCACGCTGACGCTCCACTTCCTGTTTGCGGCTCTGTCCCTTCTCTCTGGGTGTTTGCTCTTGGAGCAAAATCTCCCGGTCAGCAGTGCGTCCCCGCCACCCGGGGCCTGGCTGGCGCTCCGTAGATGCTTACTGTGAATGTCGACCAGATGGAGGGACACACTGGCAGATGGCAGGCTGGCTCGGGGTGGCTGACGTGCATCTCCAGCACGACTGGCTTTAAACCCCGCCGTTTCCAGGAAATCTTTGCTCACCACTATCCCCTGACTCCGGGCACAGTCGTCTAGGTTCGAGAGCCGAAGGTTTCTCTGGGGGCGATGAAAGCTTTCTCCGTCTCTTTCTCAGGCACACGGACGGGCTTCGGTGTTACAGACGGGAAGGCTGAGAGGTCAGGGCCCAGAAAACGGGGAAGGGAGTGGGGGGCCTCCAGGAGGAGAAGGTTCACGCTCAACAGACAAAAGAGATGGGGAAAGGCCGCTGTGGGCGGGCACCTGGGATAAACCGGCCCGCCTGTCTGCTCAGAGCTCTCGGGTGCCCGTCGCTGTTTCGTGGGCGGGCCCCCGGGATCGCTGCCTCGCCTCACCCTGCCCACACCTGTCCGCATGCTCAGTCACGTCCTCCCCGTCACCCACGTCCTGCACGAGCGCTGCGTCTGCCTCCCAGGGTACAGGTAAGCCTCTGGCGGGAGCCCAGGGGTGTCTGGGAAGACACCCTCCCTCCTCCCCCACCAAAGTAAAGAAATCCCCCATTTTCACACTTGGGCACTCCCTTTGTCTTCAAGCCTTTCCCATCAGATATTAGAGAGGTGTCCCCTGAACATGTAATTTTATGGCATTTAAAACCGTAAATTAGTCCTGCCGTCTCCTAAGAAGCATTTGAAACAGCATTCATTTGTTCACTCATTTGTCCCACCACAGTCCCTACTGTGAGCAAAACAGTCTACCCGTGCACTGAATGCTGCGGGTGCAGGCGAGTGAGGAACCTCTGCCCTCGGGGTCCAGGCCACGGGGTGGGGGCTGGGGAGGGGCAAGGTCACTGCCATCAGAATCCCAGCTGATACTCACCGAGTGCCAGGTCTGCCCCAGGCCCATTCTGAGTGCTTTCTCAACCTGGAGCCTCAGAACGTGCTGAGGACGGACACACTATTACGGCCCCTTTTTATAAATGAAGAAAAGGGGGTCCAAGCCCCTGTTGGTGTAGCTCAGTGGATTGAGTGCACGCTGCAAACCAAAGTGTCGCAGGTTCAATTCCCAGTCAGGGCACATGCCTGGGTTGCAGGCCATGACCCCCAGCAATGGCACATTGATGTTTCTCTCTCTCTCTCTCTCTCTCCCCCTCCCTTTCCTCTCTGAAAATAAATAAATAAAAATCTTAAAAAAAAAGAAAAGAAAAGGGGGCCCAGAGAGCTTCAGTAAAAAATGAAACAACGAATGTCACAGGTGTGTGTTAGCTTGCTGGGGCTGCAGTAGCAAAGTGCCACAGACCGGGGGGCTTGAACTACAGAGAGTGATTCTCCCGCACACGGGGAGGCGGGAAGGCCAGGGCCAGGTGTCTGCAGGGCTGGCTCCTCCCGAGGCCTCTGGCCTTGGCTAGTGGACAGCTCGGCCGTCTTCTCCCCGCGTCCTCTCAGGGTCTTCCCTCTGTGGGTTCCTGTCTCCGTCCCAATCTCTTCTTAGAAGCACAACAGTCCTGTTGGATTAGGACCCACCCCAATGACCACATTTTAACTTAATTTTATCTTTAAAGTCCCGGTCTCCAAATACAGTCATAGTCACGGGCCCCTGGGGTCAGGATGTCGACGTGGAAATTGAAGGGTTCACAGTGCAGACCCAGGATTTGAACCCAAGGCCGGCAACCCCACAGCCCAGGTGCCTGAGCCACGTGGTGCATCTCACTGAGAACTGCCCTTCCGTCCCCTGCTCCGGGAGCCCTCGCATCTCGGGTGAGGGGGTCTCTGTGGCCCTGTTGCCCACCGTGACCACTCTCCTCCAGGCAGAATTGGAAGCACAAGGTATGTGGGCGCGTGGGTCCTGTGTTAAGTGACCCAGGACTGAGCACAGACGACGAAATACTCTAAGCCCATTATCTCTGACCCAACAAGTCTGCCAGCTAGTCACGAGCATACCCATTTTATAGACCAGGAAACTGAGTTTCCGAGAGTGTAAGTGGCCAGCCAGGAGTTGGCTCGATTCCTGGACGTACGTGGCTGCCAGTGGCAGAGCCGGAATTTCCCTCCAGCCACACCGTGGTCCCAGGAGGCAGCGGAGCCGGCCCCGGGACCGGGCAGCGTCAGCAGCAGCCCCCTCCGCCCGAGCCGAGCTGTCTAAGAACCTCCGAGGCCTCCACTTGGCTTTGCCTCTGGGACGCACACAGCACACAGCTGGGTGGTTCCTCCCGCGGCTGGGAAATGCCCCTGGGACTGCTTTTCCCAGACGGTTCCGCTGCGGCCCAGAGCACGTTCCTCACGGCCCTGTGTTTGGAGAGTCATTCCTCTGCGTGCAGGGGCAGGGCCGGATGCTGACTCAGGGCTGCCGGCGTGCAGTGTGTGTGTGTGTGGGGGGGGGGGGGGCGGCTCGTTTCCACAGAGCGCGAGTGCCTGCAGCGGCTCCCGGCCCGCGGGCCTGGCGTCGGAGGGGCCTGCCTGCTGCCTGCGCCGGCCTGCCACAGGCGCGAAGTAGAGGTCTGGGTCCCAAACTGACTGACAGGGGTCACGTGGGTAGGGGTTGAGCATTAACCACTGGCTGTCATCTGTCCGCAGAGAGTGCAGTGGTGCCGGCGACAGCAGCTGGAAGTGCACCCAGAACGCTTCCTGCTGTGGGGGACGACGAGAACTGTTTTATGAAGCACAGGCGTGCACTTCCTTAAACCTCCCCCCGCCCCCTGCCCTGCACCCGCCGTGCAGCCCTGTAAGCAGATCCGATGGAGATCCGCACTCACAGCCGCCTAGACCAGGGGGAACGGAGCTGAAGGGGGGCCTCCCCACCAGGTGGGGGCTCACCAGGGGCGGAACCGGGGTTTGAACCCACGCCAAGGGCAGTGGGGGCTCACTCACAGCACCCCTCTGTCACCCCGCTCACAGTGACCTTGTGCCAATGACATCGTCATCTCACCACATGCCAGCATCTCGGAAGGGGAGAAAACACTGAAGTTGTGGCTTCTTTGATAAAGTTGCACAAAACTGAGATTTCCCCCGGGGAATGAATCTCCGCCGTTATCACCTGTCCCAGGAGTTTCTGTGGGAGAAAGAGGAGAGATACACACGGCCCGTCCATCCAGGAGAATGCTTGGAAGGCCGTTGCTTTGTAGAAAGCGCTGAGTATGTGCCAGGCTTTGCACAGACAGCCGCCCCACGAGCAGGTCCCGCTGTCCCGTTCTGCAGGTGGGATCTGAGACTGGTGTCTGGGAAGGGGCTGGGCCGAGGTCCCAAAAGGCATTGAGCAGCAGAGTCAGGAGGCAAAGTCCCACAGAGTCAACAGCTATGCTGTCAGCCATGCATTGTGCTTCCCCAGGTGCTCTTGGGACACGTGTGGAACCAGAGGGAACAGCCTAGAACTGGAGCCCCAAGACCTGGATTTGGATCCTAGCAGCTGTGTGTCCTGGAGCAAACTCCCCAGCCTCTCTGTGCCGTTGCTGGTGAGGCACAGACGCGGTGCACAATGGGAAAGCCCTGAGCAAACAGTACAGTCCGGGAAATGCACCAGGCCCTCCCTCCTCTTCCCCCTGCTCCCCCTCCCCACCGCTTCTCAGCCCCACACACGACTTCTTGGCTTTGGGGATATTTAAGCCCCCTTCCCATGCCCTGGACCAACCAGCTGCCTTCCTAAGAAGAGGATGCATTTTGGAGGAGAACCTGGCACATAACAGATGCTCAATAAACAGCAGTTCTCTTTGCTTTGGACCCTGAGCATTGCAACTCCACACTCCCCACGCCTAGCACATTCCTTGCATACAGCAGGTGCTCACGAGCTAAAACCTTTCCCCTGTGTAACCCCGAGGACGTCTGGTAGCCTCTCCATGCCTCAGTGTCCCCACCTGTAAAACGGGTGTGGAAGCAGGACCAACTTCATGGTGAGGATGCGGTCAGGTAATACAGCAGGAGCATTTCAGAGAGTCCCCGACACGGAGTAAAAATTATCCAAGTAAATGATTAGTGATTATTTTTACTGTCATTATTCACCTGCTGCTCCCCACCTCCTGCATACCCCAGGGTCTGGCTGGTGTACATGCTACCCACCCCAGCCTGGTCCACTCACATACTGTACAACAGAGATTCCCCCCATCCCACCCGCTTAAACATCCCCCACTAGACATCCACGCGAGCAATTCAGTTTCCTGAATGTGTGTTCATTTTACAGAGACACCCAGAGGGGCTGTGCACAGGGTTAATGTCCCCTGAATGTCCTAGGATGCCACTGCCATGCAAATCAAAAGACATTGCACTTCTCTGGCTCTGGGGTTTATTTAAGAGCGATTTGCTGTTTTTGGAAAATCCTGTCACTCAGAGAAGTGCTTGGAGTCGCCAGCAAAACACACCCACGTGGGCCTGCGTTGGCAGCCGCACGCACGCACGCACGCACGCACGCAGGCATGGCGACTTTATGTATGTGCAGGTGCCGGCGACCTGACTGCGCCCTTCAGTTTCCCAGCGCCGCCCTGCCCAGACATCTGCATAGCGAACTGTGTATCATCACTGCATCACAAACCATTTTCCTTTCGTTTGCATTCCAGTTAGAGCCTTCCCTGTATTTTCTTAAAGTCATACCTATCCGCAGGTCACTCCATCCAGGATTTTGATTTGAGCCAGTGAAGGGCCTTTGCTTGTAGAACGGGGCTCATGGGCTCATCAGTTTTTTCTAGGGGAGAAGGAGGGCCTTCTGGCGGGGAATGTGGTCACGGTGGGCTTTCAGGGACGTGCAAGTCACTTAGGGGTGTCACGTGATGCGCATTCTGTTCCGGCTTCTAAGATACAGGCACTATCCCTGCACCTTCGCCCTTGAAAGTCTCCAGAACAAGTTTCCTTGCTCTTCAGGGTACGGCTGTGTTTGTCCCTCGGAGGGAAAGGTGGCCGGCTGGGAGGGGAAGGCCGGGGTCTGAGGCTCCCCTGCGGCCGACCTTGGGACCCTGCCCCTCACCGGGCCTCCCCCTCCCTGTGGAAGGCAGACCGCAGGCGCACCGGAGCCGGGTGTCGGCAGACCTGGGCGGGGCCGAGTGGACACCCAGCAGCCCGTCCAGGGTCGGCTTTCAATGTCACACTTGGGGCTCGTGCTCACCTCCACGGAGTACAGTATGACTCACCTGTATTTCTGCTCTCGTTTCTCCTATTTACGTATTGCTTTATCCATCTCTTTATTTTTCTTCGTGCTGGTGAACGTTTTCGTCCATCTAGGATTTGCAGGGGAGCAGGGCAGGGGGAGGGGAGACATCCATGGGTGCCCAGGGCTTTTCCTGGGCCTCCGTGAGGTGAGAAGACAGTGGGCATGCGGGACAGGGAAGGAGAAGCTGTGTGAGACAGTGCACCTGGCGGGGGAGGGGACCGCAGGTGACACGCCGGGTGAGGGGCAGGAGCAATCCCCGTGCTGGCTTCCCTTCGATACAAGCTTGTCCTCTGCCCGGACCCCCTGGGCCCTGGCTCCATGTGCCCCGCCCCCCACCTCTGAGGGTGTCACGGAGTGTCCCTTCACTGACGGCCAGTCACAGCCAGCTCTGGACAGGGCCCAGTTCAGGCCCAGCTGGGAACCGGTTCTAGGTGGATGAGGGGCCGGTGGACCATTCCAGGGTTCCAGGGTGCGGGGCCTTCTCGGAGAATGGCCTGCTCTTGACCAGCAGCCAATGTCAACATCAAAAATGCAAAATACAGAGGCTGCAGGCAAGAAAAAGGGGCTTCTCGGTTAAAAGGAGCTCAAAATGCATCAGCCACGGTGCCGGGTATGAACTTGATTTGAAACAAACGAACACAAAACCCTCTGTTAACGTTATTTGGGGGACAGTCCTGGACATCTAAATATAAACTGGGCATGAAAGGACACTCGGAATGCATTGCTAGTCTTCCAGCAGAGATTGTGGAGTGCAGTCACCTGTGAAAACAATGCCCTTATTTTTGGAAGGTATTTGAAGTGTCCGCGGGCAGGTGATGGTGGCGTCTCTGTCTGACTCCCGCAGGTTCCAGCAAAGAAAAGCAAGAAGAAAAGCCACATGTGAACAGTGCTGAATCTCAGGGGGTCGGTGTAGGGATGATCACGGCGCTGTTCTTGAAAAATAAAAACACAACAAAAAAATTAAAGCATGGGCCTAGTGACAAGGAAAACCAGATGCCCTCTCTTTGGGTCCTGTCTTGGTGTTTTTACTAAGATCCTTAAGGAAAATGCCCATCTGCCTCAGTGGTACTACAGGAGGCAGGCCCTTCCGGGGCTGAGTTTCAGAAGGGGGGTGGGGGGACCTGGGCATGGCGGGAGGGTTGTTCTCCTTCAGGGGGTCTGAACTCCGGGGCTGCGCATCCCACCAGCTCATCCAGAGCAGCCCTCACGTGCAGTTTAGGGCACGTCTTTGGGGACTGGGCGCAGCCTGGCTGGGAGCCCAGCCAGCCCCCCACCCCGGGGGGCCGGGCTGAATGAGAGTAAACAGGCACGTGCCACGTTGCCTCACCCTCCACGGGGGGTGCATTGTGCACCCCGGCCCGGCCCACATGACTTCTCTGGCCTCTGCCCCGCCAGGCCGTCCGGTCCACTGAACACTGGGTCACGCGTTCGAACCCGGGCGATCGTTTTTCTGGGGCGTGGCCTGGAAACTGGGGCACAGATCGCTATTGATTGGTGCAGACCTAGAGCGTTTCCCCCCATGGAGCCGGGAAGGTCACCGGCAGTTCGTTTGTTCACTCGCCCAATTATTCATCCATTTAAGAAACTGGCTCGGGCCGAGGGCTGTCGACCTGGGGTCTGAAGACTGACACCTGGCCCCTGCCCTGGAGGTGCTCAACCTTAACTGAAGCAAAAATGATGATAGCGTTCCTCATGGGGTATGTCTATAGGGGTAAGCACGGCCCCAGTGACAAGGAGGGGTCTTACCCAGCCTGGGGTGGGGGAGGGGAGGGCTGGGGCTAGGGGGCAGTGAGCTGGTGCAAGGGCCTAGGGGTCATGTCGTTAATAGTGATGCTGATGTTATGGAGCGAGGTTCTTACCCACACAGCATGGCACGTCCATCATCTTCTCGAGTCCTCCCCACGATGCTGTAGAGACCACCCCCTTCTCACCCCCAGGGGCAGAGCAAGGAGTCGGCCCCAGCGCTCTGGGCACAAGGACATGCAGCTCCTGTCCCCACGAGGGTGGGCTGCCAGGCCCTGGCTGACCTCGGTGCTGCGTGGAGCTGAGGTCAGCTGGGTGTTTGCGCAGGGTGTATGGGGGCAGGGAATAAGTGTCTTATTTTTTCCTTCGAGTTAAATAAAAACCTGAACAGCAAAGTGCTGCCTAAGCGCCAAAGGCACGTGTGCACAGGGCCATGTCCAAGGGCGTTTGCTGGGCTAACTGGTCAAACCCCCCCAGAGCGAGGACCAGAGCAGGCAAATGGATAACCAGGGAGGGGACCGGTACATGCGTGCTCCCCAGACCCCGCGCACTTCCTGACACGTGCTGCGTGAGATTCCTTCCCCGGGCGTCCTCACCTCCCCCGCCATGGTCAGGGGTGCTTGTAGGCAGCTATCCCTATCAGAACCCCTAGTGCCGGTCAGCTTCGGTGCAGACATCCCCTCCGCCGGAGAGGTCATCGTCCCCCCTGCACAGATGGGCAGCCTAGCAAACCAGGGATGCAAACTCAGTCTCCCGACACCCAGGCATGGGTTTCTCCTCCCTGCCTTAGCCGGCTCAGGCTCCTGTAACCAAATACATGGATGGGGCGGCTTCACAACCACATTCATTTCTCACACTTCGGCGCACTGGGAAGTCCAAGATCCAGGCAGATTCAGTTCCTGGTAAGCGGTTTCAGTAACCTGCGGTTCGCTCCCACTGAAGAGTATTAAATGGAGACGTCCTGAGATGATTCATGCCTTTTAAATCGCTCGGAGTGAGTGGGAGGAACCCTCCCATGGTCCTGCTCCCCCCCCCAGCCCACAGCCTGGGGAGGTATCTCATGGATCTCCCTCCAAAGCATCGGGCCTCCTGCCCTTGAACTCCAACTCCAGAGAGGCCTTCATCTCCCCTGACCCCGGGGTCTCTGGAATGGCCCGAGTCCCGTACCTCTGGACTTCCTCCTGGGGCTTCAAGTGGGGGCCGCTGAACAGTCCGGGACTCACTACCACACGCTGAGCACAATCCCACTATCACGAGGTTTTCTGGAAGAGAGGGGGCTGGGCATCGGAGGGCAGGCAGGTGGGCCCGGCTCCTCTCGTGAGAGACCCCACCCCTGGGGCGTGCAGACCCTGGGCCTCCAGGGCAGAGGCGGGGCTGCAAAACCAGAGGGTGGTTCTACCAGGGGGTGGTTCCAGCTGGACCACCCCCTGACTCCCAGGGACCCCCAGGGACCGTGGGCTGGCTGGGCGCTCACCTCCATTTGCTCAACAGTAAAATGGGGGGAAGGGAAGCTTCAGGAACCAGGAACTCAAGGGCTTTGTAGGGACCACAGAGACGTGTTTGTTCATTTCCTTCTTCATGTCCCCGCCCACCACCACCACCACCAGCATTTTAAAAAACCGGTACATTTTAAGTAAAAATCCAGCTCTCTGGGTTTTTACTTGAAGGGGGCGGGGCACTGGTGTCCTGGGGCCCACATTCCTGCAGGGCAGATAGGTGCGGGCGGGAGCAGGGTGTGGCCGCCCGTGTCCAGGACGGCTCTCCAGGCTCCCGACCCCACTGCCCTTTGGGGCACACCCAGGCCGGGCCAGCTGCCCTTAGCAACACGCTGGTTGGTCCGGGTGGTGTTTTCTAAGGAAGAAATACTTTTCCATATTTGTGAGAGGGAAAATAAAAGCCAGACATAAACCCTAGGGAGGAGAGGGTAATTTTACCTTTTGTTTCCTGTCCTACATGGTTTTTTATCTTTGTTTCTGTTTTGCTGGCGCACACGCACACTCTCGCACCCATGGGTGGAAATGAAACCCTTTCTGTTCCATAAGCAGAGTGAGACTCTCGTTTCTGAGGTCCGAGTTCTGTCTGCCCCGGAGGTCCCGGCGGCGGCTGCCCAGGACCGGAGGGCGTGGAGGTCCCTTCCCCGGGGACAGGCTGTACCGCAGCTGGCTGACCACATGGCCGAGCGGAGGGTCAGCCGCCCGGAGGCCGAGTGCAGAATGCTCTGTCTTGTTGTGTAATTAGCCCACAGTGTTCGTTTTTGGGGCCTGACCCGGGGACCGGGGCCAGGAGCATTCCTGAAGGGTCAGAAGGGAATGTGTTTACTGTCAGGCGGCAGCAGGAACTTCCTTCAACAGGCCCTCGGGGAACACGTCTGAGGCCCAGCGCTCTGAGCAAACCCTCCTCAGGCCCCCACTGGGGCCGGGCTCTGGACCACGCCCAGAGACGCAGGGGCATGCGTGGATGCGACCCTCCGTCCTCGGAGAGTGCCCAGGGCTCCGGGGGAGGCTGGCCAGTAGAGGGACAAGCCCGGGGCGGGGCAGGGGGAGAGCAGTGACAGTGATGAGCACAGGGCGCTGGAGGGGCAGGGGGCAGGGAGGGACTGCCGCCCAGGGCGGTGAGCCCCCCTTTATTGCAGGGGACACAGTGCAAGGACGCACTGGCCTCTTCCTGAGGGCCATTTGCTAGTGTCTTCTTTTGAAATCCATGACTTGTTTTTCTGAGTGCTAAAGCGATGCTTTTTTCCAAAAATCTCAACTGTTGGGACATGTATGCGTTCAACCATAAACGCTCTTCAGAGATCCGATGGCCAGGGTCGGCTGTGTACATGGTTCCAGCATTTTCTTCCAGGCTTCAGCCTCACGAAGACTCCTGGGGACGTGTCAGGCTCCAGGCCGAGAGACAGTGTCATGTGGTTTCACCTATTTTGTGCCCTGTGGGGAAAGGACCATCAGCACACACATTTTTTTCCCATGGGGAAACTGAGGCACAGCAGGAGGGAGTCACTTGGTCCCAGTCACACAGGAAGGAAGTGGCAAAACCCAGACACCTGGCTCTGGGCCTGAGCCCTTAGCCCTGAGACACGGGAGTCAGGGACCTCACCCATCCTCAACCCTACTCACCTGGCCAGTGCGGGAGACCAGGCCCGCACCTAAGCGGTCTTATTCCAGAACACTTGAACTTAACCCCACGCCTGGCTGCCTTCGACATAGATTAAATACATACACCCACATGGAAATATTTATGCAAATGGTCTCGCGGTGTACTAAATATTCTGCGCTCGAAGCAAATCTTGTGCTGTTCACTGTTGCTATAAGCAAATCTACCTCCTTCATTCCAAAGTCTGTTGGGCGCTGCAAACTGGGACACAGCACCATGGGTCTGACCCGTCTCCTCTCTGGTTTTTTGGGTGGTCTCCAGGTTTCTGTTCTTACAGACAATGCTTCTACAGAGCGCTTGGCAGAGGCCAACGGGAGGACTATCAGCCAGACCGATTCCTAGAAGAGGGACAGCTGGGACACCGGTGTGGACACGCCCCCCGGACGGGCCTGCCGGGCCTCCCTGCCCGGGGCTCACTTCCGTGTGCTGGGGGAAGGCCATCGTCACAGCGGGTGACGTTGAAATGCCCTCCCTGCTGGGGCAGGCGCCTGGACTCCATCTCACAGCCTTCATGCGCTCAGCGGCGTTTTTTATCTCTGCTCCTAGATGGCTCAGAGAAGGTCATGATGAAAAAAAAAAAAATCAATCGTGCAAATAACAAAAGCCTCGATGTGGTCAGCAGCTGCTGTTCCCAGGAGGACAAGCCCGGCCGGGCTGTCCTTGAGTGTTGGGTACACCAGAGTGCCCCTTCCTCTGGCAGCCGGCAGGCACAGCCCCACACAGCAGGATTCACGCTGGATCTCAGCCTTCACGTGTGCAGGGCCCAGGCTGGCCAGCCTCAGGCGCTGCTCTGGTTAGGGTTGTGAGCTGCATCCAGGTGGCCTTTAAGTCCTAGCGGGCATGTCCCCTGGGGCACGCCACTTACACGGGGTGTGCCAGCTTCCTGCTGTGAAACAGAGGCTGAGGACAGGAACGGTGGCTCCTGTACAGGGCGGCGCCAATGAGCATTAAGTTGAACGACCTGAAACCCTGAGAGGCCATACGGCGAAGAACCCCAGATGCTGGCCAACGGGCAGTCGTGACCCTGCTGGGCGGTCACTGAGGAGGCCCGCCCACCCCTCCCTGGGCCTGTCTGCACCACACAGGCCCCCTCGGCCTTCACGGCCTCGTGTGGAGTACACAGACGCTGGATTCGGGAACCAGAGAGAAGGGAGCCGGGATCCTGACCGTCCCCTACCATCCATCTGTGTGACTTCAAGCAACTCCCTCTTCTTATCCAGTCCTGTGTTTCAGAGTTTCGCCTCTGTATCCAGATGCATCCAGGTGCCTGGCTAAGAGGGCACCACGGATGTCGGTTCTGCTACCGATTCAGGGGCACCGGGACTCGGCCCTGGGGAGAGAGGAGGGAGGTGGGGCCGAGAGGAAGCAGGGGTGTGTGGAAGAATCCGGAAAGGAGCACCTCTTCGGGCTCCCAGGGCAGCCTTGCCGGCGCCCTCCACGGTGGCCGAGTCCCACCTCGCCTTCCTCCGGCAGCGGTCCCTGGAGCCGCCCCAAAGCCAGCGCACTGTCGGGCTCCCACAGGCTGGGGTCCAGCCCACACCCCACCCCCCACAGCCCCACTCATTCTTCAAGACCCCGCCTCGCGCCACCTCCTCCTGGAAGCTTGGACCTTTCCCCCAAAGTGGGACTGTCCCCTCCTGGGCTTCCCCCGCACCCATTCCCCTTGTGCCGTGTTGCAGGTGTTGGATCCCACCAAGATTTCGGCCACCTGTGAGCGGCTTCTCTAGTCTCTGGGAGACTGGGCCCTTCCTAAGGGCAGAGGGGGTGCAGGGCAGGGCAGGGCAGGGCAGGGGCGTTGGAATGCTGAGGCTGCCACCCCCCGGCAGTTCTGGGGCCCGCTTCCCAGCTCTGCCCCTCACCACCCCAGCGTCCTTGGGCGAGGCCCTGGCCACGCTGCCTTAGCATGAGTGGAGGGGCACTGGCCACCGTCTGTGGGCACCTCCTCTGCCTCCTCTGTACCTGGAGACGGTGTGCATTCCTGCAGGTCCTTTCAGAGCAGATGGGACCTTCTCCCCCTTCTCCTCTTCTGGGGAAGGGGACAGTGGAGACCCAGAGGGAGCAAGGCTCTGCCCAAGGGGCAGCGCTGGAGCCTGCACCTGAGTTTGCACGTGCACTCTCCGGCCACCATGGGCATGCCCTGTGTCACCTTCCTCATGGCTCTGCAGGGACACTGGATGGGGGCCAGCTTTGCATCCTGTAAAACACGGAATTTGGATTCCAGATAAGGACTTTGACCTAACCGTAGCTCGGAACTCTTATTGCCTAACGCGGCAGGGTCTGGGCCTTTGAGTCTGGGTGGGGCCGGGAGACCTGGGCCGGGGTACAAAGATCTGCAGCCAGAATTGGGGTGATGTACGTTTACCCACCCCCTCCACCCCTGACACTGTTCCCTCTTGAGCCCTGGGAGTCAAACCCTCCCAGTTTGGCTGCGACGATTTGGAAGCAGCTTGTGCGAAATCCCTGTCCCGGATCCAACTTGGCAATCACAAAGATCCTCGGAGCCACCCCAGGGCGGGCACTGAGCAGGGTGGCTAACACTGTGTCGCCAAATCCTCACAGCTACCCAGAGGCAGAGCCTGTCACTGAGATTTAGAGCAATGCAAGAGCCCCACTGTGAGCGGCGGCCTCTGGATTTCCAGCCCGGGTCCCTCCACAGGTGTACTTTTAAACACTAACTAACCGCACAACCCGTGCACACTGGGCGTGCACGTGAGGACCCAGAAACGCAGACTCCGGCGGGCACAGCCCGGGCCCTCGCCCTGGGCCCACGCTACCTGCCCCCCGGCACTTTGCCATGCTGTGGAGTCTGTTTCTGCCTAGTGAGAATAGCCTGCTCCCTGGCACCGCACTCGTTTTACGACTTCCACTTGTGAACAGACTTGGGGCCTCACCGGAGGCGGCCTGACCCAGCACACGGCCTGTGGAACGAGGAGCACCCCTGCTTGTCTCTGCCGGGGCCCCCCGAGACACCTCCCGGAGACAGAAACTGCCGGACATGTGGCACCCCGCCCCCACAACAAGAGGTGGCGGTTTGAGGGGTCAGGCCAAGAAGGGCGTGTGCCTGCACAGAGTTTGTTTCTCACCCCACTGGGTCCCTCCTCCAAGTGCACTGGCCTAGTGGAACAGCACTTCCATCCCAGGCCCCTGCGCCGCCATGGCAGCCCTGGCTGCGTGACCTGGAACACGCCACCCAGCACCTCTGAGCCTTGCTGCCTTCGGCGGGAAGGATCCCACACATCCACCTGCGGGGTGAGGAGTAATAAGACAGAAGAACAGCAGAAACGGTGCCGGCAGATGGACAGTGCTGGATGTATGTTATTTTTTTCCTCCCTTTCCTCGCCGTTGGAAAGAAATCATTTTATCAGTTCTGTTTTTAGAAATGCGTTTTGGTCTGGAGAGACATGTGTTTGTAAGATGTCGCTCCTGGGAATGTGATAAAAATCACTCTGCCACGTTGCTAGCTTCTCTGGGAGTCTGTCAAGGAGCTTACTGGACTGCCGCCCTGTTGCACTGTTGCAGCCTAGAGCATGTATTGTGCACCACTGTAAGCCCGGCCTGGAGCCAGGGGCTGGGCGAAACCACTCCTGTCTGCAAGAACTCACAGTCCGGGGCGGGGCAGGGGTTGGGGGGGGGGGTGGCGAGCAGAGCCAGACAGACTGCACCGCAGGGACAGACACCCCCTGTAGACAGCCCCCAGGAGCTATTGTTTCAGACGGCAGGGATCTGAGGATACTTTCTGCAAGACATGACATTTTAGGGGCCCTCCAAATAGAAGCGAGACAAGAGAGGAAAAAAAAAAAGGTGTCCAGACATAGAAAACAATCAAGGAATGGCTACAGAGTTAACTTTGTGGAGCTATATTGTTAAAAAAAAAAAAAAGGTTTCAAATGCTAGCAAACATCGGAGTCACCTGCAGGGCGTGTGAAAACACAGATCCCTCCGCCACGCTGTCCTTCAGCCGGTGCATGATAAGTCTCGGTGGTGCGCCCAGACACGGAATACTAATCAGGGCCGAGAGGGAGTGAGCTATCGAGCCACGGAAAGACGTGGAGGAATCCGAGACACGTATGAATGAGTGAAGAAGCCATTCTGAAAAGGCTGCCTGCTGTATGTATGACTCCGACTCTACGTATGTACGATGTTCCAGAACAAGCGAAACCGCGGAGGCGGTCAATAGATCCGTCGTGGCCCGGGGGTTGTGGGAGGGGCGGTCCGAGAGGCGGAGCACAGGGAAAGTTTGGGGCAGTGAGACTACTCCGCACGACGCTGTCGAATTGGATACATGTCATTACACATTTGTCAAAACTCACAGGAGGCCCCACACCAGGAGCGAACGCTACAGGAATCTATGGGCCCGGGGGGATTAGGACGAGTCGATGTGGCTTCATCGATTGTAACAAAGGCCCCCCCTTCTCCCTGCCCCCCGCGCCATGGGGATGCTGATAATGGGGGAGGCGGTGCCTGTGTAGGGGCTGGAGGATATGGGAATCTCTACTTTCTGCTCACTTCTGCCGCGAACCTAAAACTGCTCTAAACACATAAAAACCTATTCATAAAGCACACATACAGACCACTGCTCCCCACCCCGGAGTGTCCCGAGGGCAGCTCCCGAGCTGGCTTTTCTGCACGTTCCCGGGTGACGCTGACGCTGCTGGCCTCGCAGCTGACACCGGAGAGAAGGAAAAAGCACAGGGGGCAGAGCGGGCCCGACCGCGGGGCAGCCTGGGCGCCGGGCTGCACGCTGGCGACACTCACGCCCACGGCGGTTTCCCGCCATCAATCAGTGCGTCACAAACCCTCGCATGGGGCGGTTTAAGGTGAAGTCCGTGTGCTATTCCTCCCAATCCCATCGCACAGGCTCGGCTCAGCCGGGCGGGCGGTTCTTCGCTGCAGGCGGAGCCTCGGGGGCTGCACCGGCTGGGACGGCACCTCCATTCGCAGAGCCGGCCCCTCGTGAGAGGTGGCTGGACAGGTGGGGCTGCTCCGGCATCTATGTCAAGCGCCACCTCCCCCCCCCCACACACACACGCTTCTGCCGTGGCGGCTGGCTCCCCACAGGAGGCCATGGAAGCTCCCAAAGGGCAGGCCTGAGCGGGCGCGAGGCCAGTCCCACCCCCCTTCGCACGGGCGGGAAGAGCCCGAAGCCAGCGCAGGCGCCACCTGTCGGCGTGCGGAGTGGCAGGTGCCTGGAGGCCGGGAAGGGCTCACAGACCCCCTTCCTGGGGACTCTCCTCCGCAGAGAGGGAGGCTAAATATTTCCCACGAGGGGGGCCTCCCTGGAAGGGGTGCACGTAAGGAAGGGCTGGAGATGGCAATATGCACGTGAGGGAGAAAATAATTCTGGGAGGCGGGGCTCGAAGCAGGTGCAAAGGCTCCGAATCGGAAACATGTGTGTCCGAGGGGCAGCAGGGAGGCCAGACCGGCTGGGGCAGCCGGTGCGAGGACAGGGGGAGGGGGCCGTGTGTTGGTAACAGGGCGCGGTGGGTAACAGGACCTCTCGTGAGGTCTTGGGGCCACGCGGCTTTGACCCTGAGTAGCTGTGGTGTCGGGAAGCCCGCTGTCGCGGCTTACTCGGGGTTGAGAGGATTCCTGGAATGCGGGACATTGTGTTCAGACCAGGAAGCAGACCACAGGGGACCCGGGTGACGGCGGGGCAGCCTCGTGGGGGAGACCCTGGGGGGCTCCAGGCAGAGGTGACGGCGGCCAGGCCTGGAAACAGGAGCTGTCACTGCACCGAGGAGTCCATCCCGCCTGGACTGCCATTCACAGGCAGCTTCAAAGCTTTGCGAGGGCAGTTTTGATTTTTACAAGATTTCCGCTGACTCGTGTGGTTGAACTGCCGTGGAAGGTGTGGCTCCTCTAATGGCACGTGCTCTGGGATGTCGCCGGGGATCCTGTGTGCCCCTGCGGCCCCCCTGAGGCAGAGGGTGGCGGGTGGGGTCCACGGGGACTGAGCTGCGATGCCGCCCCGCCCCCACTGAGTGGGCTGCCCCTCCGTGGCGGGGAGCCCGGTCTGCCTTCCTGCCGGTCCCAGCTGTGGGCTCACTCAGGCCTGGAGGACAAGCTCATTACTGTCGGGAAGTCCAAGGAACCAGCAGCCCACTTCTGTGTCGCCCCAGGGGTCCTCACGCTGTTGTCTCCCTTGCAGCATGGCCGTCTGAGGCAGGTCCAAGGGGTGTCTGAGGCGCTTGGGACCCGTGTGCCTCTGTCCTTGCTGCTCTGTGTCCCCCCCCCCCCATTCAGCATGGGGACAGTGGCACCCTGGACCTGCCCCAGGAGGAGGGGCCCAGTCAGGGGAGGGGGTATCACACACACCCACTCACTGCATTCAAAGGTGGCTCAGGGGGAGGCTCAGAGGAGGCCCTGGGTCCTTCCTGGAGGAGGTGGCGGGACGAGGAGGACTCTCCAGGGGCAGAAGCGGCGACATGCCCCAGGCAGCGCAGACAGCTTGGGGAAGAACAGGAAAACGGTGCCTGTGGCGGGAGGGCTGGGCTCAGGGCGCCGCCCTGCTGCCCAGAGAGTGGAAGTGAGCAGGAAGGGGCAGGAGGTGAGGAAGGAGAGGTGTGGGGGTTCCAGTACATTCTGCAGTGGTGGTGGCGGGGGGATCTTCCAGAACTTTCCACACCAGGAGGAGACAGGGTCCTCTTTCCCTAACCCCCAGCCCCTAGCCTCCCACCCACTCCCTGGCCACCCAAGCACCCGGCGGAGAGCGGCTCTTGGCAGCTGCCTTTCTCACGCCGCGCCCTGCACCCACCTCTCCACGCTCTGCCCCCTTCCCTCCCCTCTCCACCCCGATTCAAAACAAAACAGGAGGAATTTGCTTCTTTCTCCCAAGACCCACTTTCCAGGGTAGGGCTGGGCTCCTACCTTGCTTATCTTGGCCACGGGTACCCTGCCTACAATACAATGTTTGCTCACGTTTCCCCGGGAGGCAGGGTCTGTCCACTGGAGTGGTCTACACCATGCTGTTTCAGGCGGAAGACCAGGCCCAGACAGGGGCCTCCCTCAACGTCCTTGGGTTCCGCCACCAGGCCCAGAACCCGGGTTTCCTGACTGAGTTCCCCATGGCTGAAGGTAATCAAGGAACAACAGTGGAAAGATTGTCAGGGAGCAGCCAGGATTGCCTGATGACC